CTGCCACTCTCACACTCAGGGCAGGGCCGATGGGGAGGTTATGGCTCTACCCCGTCACACACAGAGCAGGACCTGTGGGGGGTGTTGGGGCACCGCACCCTGTTACACACAGAGCAGGGCCGATCAGGGGGTTGGGGTGCCGCAGCCTGTCACGCACAGAGCCACAGGGCGATGAGGGGTTTGGGGAGCTCCCCCCTATCAGGCACAGAGCAGGGCTGATCAGGGGGTTGGGGCACCTTCCCCTGTCACGAACAGAGCAGGGCGGATAGGGAGGTTGTGGCCCCGCCCCCTGTCACACACGGAGCCGCAGGGCGATCAGGGGGTTTGGGCGCTGTCCCCTGTCACACGGATCCCGGTGCCGGGAGGCCTCGCGGCTCTGCTGATCCCGGTGCTGGGAGGCATATTACCCTTTTACTATATAGGATAGAGGCCTGGTGCACGGGTGGAGGCCGGCTGGTTTGCCCTGAAGGGTGTCCTGGATCAGGGTGGGGGTCCCCACTGGGGTGCCTGGCCAGCCTGGGTGAGGGGATGATGGCTGTTTGCAGCTGGTCACACACCCTTCAGGGTGGGGGTCCCCACTGGGGTGCCTGGCCAGTCTGGGTGAGGGGCTGAGGGCTGTTTTCAGGCTGGCGGGTGACTGAAGCTCCCAACCACTCCTTTTTTTCTTTCTTTTTTTTTTTTATTCTGGGCCAGCTTTAGTTCTGAGGCTTGGGTCCAGCTCTGAGGCCTCGGCTGCTGAAAGCAGGTATCTGGTTTGTTTGGGTTCTATAATTGTAACACTGTTTCAACTCCAGCTCTGAGATCCCGGCTGACTGGAAGCAGGTTTCTGAGGTTTTGTTTAGCTTCTATATTTGTAACAATGTTTCAAACTGCAAGCTCAGAGGCCGGCAGTGGCAGGCGGGGAACGTTGGCTTCCTCCGTCACGGAAGCAAGCAAGCCTCATGTTCACTTCAAGCTGCCTGGCTGCCGGCCGCCATCTTGGCTGGCAGTTAATTTGCATATTGCCCTGATTAGCCAATGGGAAGGGTAGCGGAGGTACAGCTAATTACCATGTTTCTCTTTTATTAGATAGGACTAGTGGCCCGGTACACGAAATTTGTGCACGGGAGGAGAGTTTCCCTCAGCCCAGCCTGCACCCTCTCCAGTCTCGGACCCTTTGGGGGATGTCGACTACTGGTTTAGGCCAGATCCCAGGATGTCCGACTGCCGGGATCAGGTCTAAACTGGCAGTTGGACATCCCTTTCACAATCCTGGACTGCTGTCTCCTAACCACTCACCTGCGTGCCTGCCTGATTGCCCCTAATTCGTTCACGGGAGCAGGGAGTTCCTCAGCCTGGCCTGCACCCTCTCCAATCTGGGACCCCTCAGGGCTGCTGGCACCTAACTGCTCACCTGCCTGCTGGCCTGATCCCCCTAACTGCTCTCCCCTGCTGGCCTGATCCCTCTAACTGCTCTCCCCTGATGGTCTGATACCCTTAACTGCTCTCCCCTGCCATCCTGATCCTCCTAACTGCTCTCCTCTGCCTGTCTGATCACCTCTAACCGCCTCTGCCTCAGCCCTGCCACCATGGCTTTGTCCGGAAGGACGTCCGGAACCTCGCCTGGAAGATGTTAAGTCTAATTAGCATATTACCTTTTTATTAGTATAGATGCCACCTTGCCTATAAATGCAGGTTGTTAGCAGGTTTTCCTATAGTGGAAGGGGAGCCCGCAGTAGCATCCTGGGTTCTGACCAGGGCTTATGCACTCGTGCTTTATCTCAGCAGATGAGATTCCTAGAAGACTCTTGGATGTACCTTGAACATTTCTATCGATTTTGCCAAATCATCCTCCAAAAATGTTGAATCACTTTAAACTCCCACCAGCAACCATGCATGTGCCCTCTGTCCTACTTTGATGCCAGTATCATTGATTTCCCCCTAGAAGCTTCCCTCCCCTCAGCCGGGACTGCTTGGCACTTGAGCCAAACTCACTGTTCAGCCCAGGACTTGATTTCCCGAGATAGAATTATGGAAGAGGAAAAATAGTTTTCCTCTACCCTTCTGAGTTCTTAGCGGAGGCCCTTGTAATGAAAGACAGATTACCAAAGAGAAAAACCAAAGTTCATTAACATGTGTACCTCATGTATATGTGGGAGATCCCAGGGAAAAATGAATAACTTCCAAAAGTGGCTTAGAATCCAGATTTAAACACCTTCTTTCTAGGGAAACGGGACGGGATATGTAGGCCTCTTAGAGGAGAGTACATGATTTTTAGGAAAGATGAATGGGGGTGGGGGCGATAGTTTATAACAAAGTTTGGATGTGATGTCAACTTCTAGTCTCTTGTCCTGTAACAGGAGTCAGTCTTCACTGGCTGATGGCACTTTTCCCATCAAGGGAACCTTTGGGGGGGGTCCGATTTTAGGCAGAGAGGGAGACTTCAGTGAAAACCTCTCCTTGCATTTGCTGTTTTTCAAGCATCTGCAGGTCAAGATCATCAATATAACAACATGGCATATGTTGGGGTGGTCTGTTCTCTGACCTTCAGAATAAACCCAACAAAAGCTTGTTTCCTCTCTTAGATAATTTGCCACAGTAGCATTATTCCCTGGAAACAGTATTCTGACCAGTATTCTGATCACTTCCTGGGAGTGATCATAACATACCCTGTGCTTGTAGAAAGGTGTGGGCCATATCACTAAATAATCAGGGTCAGTTTTCTCATCTTGTGGAAAGGGAGGTAACTTTATCTCCCTTTCCACAGGTTTCCTGCCGGTTTGTGTCTCTGCTGCAGCCCCAGTGGCCCCAGCGCCTCTGCGGCCTTGGGGTTAGGGGCTGCTGGGTGCCAGCCCCCCTGCAGGCTGTGTCTGTGCTCCTCTGACCCCAGCACTGAGGTGGAGCTTGAGGCTGCTGGGTGCAGGTCACCCTGAGGGCTGTGTCTCTGCTCCTCCAACCCCAGCGCCAAGGCGGGGCTTGGGGCTGCTGGGTGCCGACCCCCCTGTGGGCTGTGTCTCTGCTCCTCCATACCCTCTGGCAGCGCTGACCAAGCAGGCCCAGAGGCCCTCCACCAGCGGGTTGAGGCAGAATGCCTGCGTCCTCACCTGGCTTCGCTCTGCCACTTGGAGCCGCCATCTTGGCTGGCAGTTAATTTGCATATCATGCTAATTAGCCAATGGGAAGGGTAGCAGTTGTACGCTAATTACCATGTTTCTCTTTTATTAGATAGGAGGATTGGCAGCTTCCTCCCACCGTTCTACCCCCAGTGACATATAAAATAATGATACATCTTAAAATTGATCATGTTTCAGAATCAGTGAAACACATTAGGAAAGCAAAGAAAAGCAATTACTATGGGATGTTTCTTTTATTGAAATGTTAGTTGTCTTTCTTACCTAGTAAAAGCTCTACCCAAAAGATAAATGCGTGAGAACAGAGATTCATGACACTTTCAGAGAATTGTAAAAAACTTTGGGATGCTTTGTCTTTAACAGAGACAATCTGTTGCTATCAGGAATGTTTGTTTACTTGTATTTTATTTTAATTTCTGTAGTTATACATAAGAGAAAATGTTTCCGCCAGAGGTTGTTTTGGGAAAATTTGGTAAATCATGAGGAGCCATATAGGCAGGAAAATAGTTATCTGACATATGAGGACAAAAAATATTTATGTAGTTTTATCATTTTTTAAAAAAGTCCAATAAATAAAACCTATGAATGTAAATACACTTCTTCAAATTCTACCAGATTGGAGAATATGGAGATGCATTTTAAGATGCCAATTAGTGTGATAAAAGCATTAAAGATGTATTGTGGATTTAATATGTGTTTTAATTCTGTCAGAATTTTCGCTGGTGAATGCTTTTGTCAAGATAACAACGAAAAGGGACAGAAAATTTTCTTCTACAAATGTCGTTTCCATCCTTCCAATTTTTTGCAATCTTGAATTGAACTAATACAATTTGAAAGAAAATTAGCTATCTTCTCTAGGGCGTTTTATATATTTTTATAAATGAAAAGATGTTAGGAATGCATGGGCAATGTTAGTCTGATTCTCTTGGTGTTAGAGTTACTTGTGGCTTAGTGTTATAATATATTTCAAAGGCAAGTATTATTTCTCCAAATGTCAAACATTCATGCAATTAGGAGTTCAGTGTGGTGAGGGTCTGGGGGGGGGGGGTGGATGCAGACTAGAGGGGTCAATGGAGAAAAAAGGGGGACATTTGTAATACTTTCAACAATAACGATTAAAAAATTAAAATCTTAAAGTAAAGAAATTATGAGTTCAGGAAATAAATTGATGTTACAGTAAGATTTAATTTCCTGACATTCTCCCTAAAATCATGTCCTTAAAATCCTATTCAGATACTGCCTTCAAAACATTTAAAATTTTTGTATAACTCTGACATTATTGGGTATTTTTTCCTTTTGATTTTTCCTATAAAAAACTCAGTATTTAAAGTTATTTAAATGAAACTCTAACAAAATTAGTCTTTTCGACAATATAAAGTAGAAAGATTGAGAATTTCAAATGATTTTAAACTCGGAATAAACAGGTTTTTAAAAAGTATATATTTTTATTGATTTCAGAAAGGGAGAGGGAGAGAGAGAAACATCAATGATGAGAGAGAATCATGGATCGGCTTCCTCCTGTATGCCCCCTACTGGGGATTGAGCCCATAACCTGGGCATGTGCCCTTGGCTGGAATCGAAACTGGGACTTTTCAGTCTGCAGGCCAGCGCTCTATCCACTGAGCCAAACTGGGTAGGGCAGAATAAGCAGGTTTGAAAGACTTTTATGGGAGAGGGATTGTACCATGCTGATATTGCAAAGACTTTAAAATCTAAGCATATATTTTGTTATGTATTTTGTATTTTATGACTTTAAGTACTTAACTTCCTTTCTCTGTTTAAGTGTGAGAGAGTTTATTTACATTTACTTATTTGCTTTGCTTTAGAAAAATGGTTTTAAAGTTTGTTTTTATTTGGATTCCCTGCTAACTGGTTCTTTTTTTTCCCCAGTTGTGGAAGAGGGACTCTGGGAAAATGGCCTTTCCTATGAATGTCGGACGCTACTCTTCAAAGCAATCCACAATCTGTTAGAAAGGTAAGAGAAGGAACAGCATCAAGGTGATTTTGAGAAACCCAAGTTTAATGCTAGATACTTAGAGGGTTTCCTGTAGTTCTGAAAATACTTTCATGCAGTTTTATAAAAATAAAATTATAACTCTCTTGTGTTTTTTTATATTGCTATAATTTCAAAGTTAGAGAATTTTCAAGAATAGCACAAATAATTCCCATATATCTTCATACACAGGTTCACCAGTAGTTTTTGTTTGCACAGTTTGCTTGATAATTAAAGTGGTTGCTTGTCCTAAACAACCTCCGCTCCCTCCTGTGTGTGTGTGTGTGTGTGTGTGTGTGTGTGTGTATTTTAAAAAATTTCCCTGAACCACTTGAGAGTCATTTGCATACCTGAGGTGGTTCTAAGTACTTACCAGGTGTACCGGTTAATAATGCAGATTTTTTTCAATAGATGGAGTTACACATATTTTGATATATATGCGATTTGCTATGTATGCGATTTTGTTGTATTGACAACAAGCTTCAAAAGTTCATATGTCAGATTTTCTGAAGGTGTTAACATCATAGATATTTTTACGCTTAAAAATGTAGAATTTCATACCAAAAAAAGCATTTGGGAGGAGTTTTAATTCATTATTTTGAAGAAGAGTGCTGCTGAAAGCTACCGTATACTTCGGGAAGCTTATGGTGAACATGCTTCATCTCAAGATCCTTGTGAGCGCTGGTTTAAACGCTTTAAAAGTGATGATTTCGATGTGAAAGACCAAGAACGTCCAGGTCAACCGAAAAAGTTTGAAGACCAACAGTTACAAGTATTATAGGTTGCAGATGCGTGTCACACTCAAAAACAACTTGCAGAAAGATTAAATGTTGCTTAGCAAACAATGTCTGATCATTTACAAGCAATGGGAAAGATTTTAAAGAAAGGAAAATGGGTGCCACATCAACTAAAGGAGAGACCAATGGAAAACCGAAAAGTCATCAGTAAAATGTTGCTTCCACGGCACGAAAGAAAGTCTTTTTTTGCATTGAATTGTGACTGGCAATGAAAAGTGGATTTATTTTGAGAATCTCAAATGCACAAAATCATGGGTTGATCCAGGTTAACCATCAACATTGACTGCAAGGCCAAATCACTTGGGAAAGAAGACAATGCTCTGCATTTGGTGGGATAAGGAAAGTGTGGTGTATTCTGAGCTTCTAAAACGAGGTGAAACTGTTAATACTGATCGCTACCGACGGCAAATAATTAATTTGAACCATGCTTTGATGGTAAAACGATCAGAATGTTCCAGAAGAGAAGGCAAAGTAATTTTGCTTCATGATAACGCATCATCACACACTTCAAAACCAGTTAAAGACACATTAAAAGATCTTGCCTGGGAAGTATTAACCCCCTCGTTGTATTCACCAGACCTTGCTCCTTCAGATTACTACTTGTTCCCATCGATGGCACACGCAGTTTCTGAGCAGCACTTAAAAACTTACGAAGAAGTGGAAAATTGGGTCTCTGAATGGTTTGCCTCAAGACAAGAAAAGTTATATTGGGACGGTATCCACAAATTACCTGAGAGATGGAGGAACTATGTGGCTAGTGATGGACATTACTTTGAATAAAGCACTTTTGATGTTTCTCTTGAAATTATCATGTTTTCTTTGATTACAAAATCCACCATTATTAACCGGTACACTTAGTAGGTGTGCATTTCCTAAGAACAAGGATAGGCTCTCATATAAGCACAGTACATTTAGGAAAATTAAAAAATTGAACATTGATAAAATGCCATTATCTAATCTGTAGCTCTATTCAGAACTTATCTGTTGTCCCAGTTATGTTCTATATAGCTTGGATTGTCGTCATGGCTCCAGCCACTCCAGGACTCTGGGCAACGTGGGAAGGCAGAAAGGCGGCTCCGGGCCGGAACGAAGTCAGGAAGGCGGCTCCGGGCCAGAGCGAAGGCGGTGCCGGCAGCCAGGGGGAAGGAAGGCCCATTCTTGCATGAATCTTCATGCATTAGGCCTCTAGTGTTTTCTATAAAATTCCTCAATTTGACATAGTTTCCTAATGATTATGTTATGCTATTGAATACCATACAAGTGATGTTGTGTAGGAGGTCCATGATTTCAGTATCCTATTTTTAATATTAATATTGTTGATCACTTGTTTGAGGTGGCATTTTGCTAGTTTTCTCCACTGTAAATTAGTAAGTACTTATTAACTATGACCTTTGTTTTAAGAGCTCAATAAATGGTTAACCGCTGTTAATATCAGCCAATAGAAGTATTGATACTATTTTCAGAGTTGGGCACAATATTAAAAGTCAACCTGTTTTCCCAGTTATTGGAATCCCATTCTATAATATCCTTTCTATGTAGTCATCTGTTCTTCCCTTGAATACTTGTGGTTATGTGAGCACAGTTTCCCAAAGGAGGGCTTTTCATATTTAGAGAGCACTCATTGTTAGAAAGTCTTTCTTAAGCTGAGCAAAAGTCTGTCTCCCTGTAACTTTTATTTCTTTATCTTAGTTCTTTTCTTTGGTGATCATATATAATTCATCCAATTCTATTTCCATGTGGTCCTTATTCTACAATTGAATCCCCCACCTTTCCTTCAGCCTTCCAGGTATTTCTCTAGTCAGTTCCATTCTCTTCATTTTGGTTGCCACTGGCCTACTTTTAAGATACGTGTTTCTTAAAATATTGCAGTGATCTCTTTTACCAACCAGGTTAGGCTCAGTTATGCTTCAGTAACAAAAGACATGAAAGATCTTACTTTATAACAATTGAGGTTTCTTTCTTTTTCTTTTTTTAAATGTATTTTTATTGATTTCAGAGAGGAAGGGAGGGGGAAAAAGAGAGATAGAAGTATCAGTGAGAGTGAATCATTGATTGTCTTCCTCCTGCACACTAACTACTGGGGATTGAGCCCACAACCTGTGCATGTGCCCTGACCAGGAATTGAACCCATTGAACCCTGACCTCCTGGTTCAAGGGTCGACCCTCAACCACTGAACCACACTGGCTGGATGAAGTTTATTTCTTGCTTGTGCTGCTATCCACTGTGATTCCTTTACTGCAGCACTCTCTTGCAAGCAGGAATCTGCTGATGAGGCAGCCCATTCAAAGACTTGTTGGGCTGTTTGCAGAAGGCAGTGGTAAAATACATAATAGCCCCTCGAAGGCTCTGTTCAAAAGTGGGGTATGTCATTTCTGCTCACATTTTACTGACCAAGATATTTGCCACCAAAGTCAAATGGATGAGAAAGTAAAATCTATTAGTAGGGGGTGCCAAAGTCACATGGCCAAACGATGTCAGTGAGAGAAGGCGCGGGATAGCACACGTTTAGGAAGAGGATAAAATCTACCATACCTGTCAGTTGAGGTCTTCTCCCTTCTAATAATCTATCGTCTAATCAGGTGCTAGCTATATTATTTAAACACAGATATGTTTCTAAAACACAATTATGGATGTATTTATACGTGTTTTTAAAAACTGAGCCATAGTGGCTTCTTTGCGTATTTTCTTCATTTGTGATTTAGAATTTCAATATTTGAATATTTAGGTCTTCCAACTTTTATAATTTTAGATCATGCTTATTTTTTCTTTCTTCTGAGAAAGTAACTGTGCTTCCTATTTTCTTAATGATCGATTATCCCTTTTTGGCAAATTGCCCAGAATGATAAAAGATCATTAATTTGGTTTTTACTTATATAGAATCTCTGCTAATTTGACTTGATTCTCCTTCCTCCTTCCTTCCTAAGTTTTTAGAATAAAACATAAGCTGATTTTGATGGAAAGGTATTTTTCCCCCTCAAACATGCAAATCATTGCTTTGCACACAATAGAAGATTACATGGTTCTTTTAATGCTGTTTTGCTCTATTCTGTCCACACTTACTTAGGGAGACTTTAATCTGTGGGTATTTAACATTTCTAAATATAATGGCTCTTCAGGGTAGTCCACTGGTGCTGCTTTTCTAATGGATTGTCAGCATATTCACCCCTCAGTAATTTATAACACAGCTGTAAAATTGCCTTTGGCTCAGAGCCTCTTGATTTGCCAGAGTTGCAGTTTAGAGTGAAGATATTCATTTGGAAAAGTATAGATAGAAATACATGAAAATTGTAATTGTAATTATGATGACATATTTGTAAATAACATATTTGTAAATTACTAGCTTTTAATGTCCTGTGGTATTGTGATCCAATAGAGGTGATCATCAGAGGGTAAATGAGCACTGTCCTTGGATGTGTTGAGTCAAGGATTTCAAAATAGTAAATATACGGGGTGGGCAAAGTAGATTTGCAGTTGTAATACAACTAAATAATACAATAATTAGTGAATAATAATACAAGAATAAACTCTGTGTTTTTCATACTCACAATTGTAAACTTTCTTTTGCCCACCCCTGTATTCACTAGAGCACAGTGGTAGGTTCAGCCCTAGATGAAGAAATGGCGATATAACATTGGAACATTGAGAGTCCTTGAGTATAATATGGTCAGAGGAGCAGGACATGGTTAATCAGTGAGATCCCATTTTACTGAACTGTGACAGTGTGCATTTCTCTAAAGGATAGTAGGAAAATGAGTCTTTAGACCTAAGTGGTATATATGCTTTAAAGCAGCAGTCGCCAACTGGTGGTCCACAGACCACTGGTGGTCCATGAGGTGCGAAAGGTTGGTGACCGCTGCTTTAAAGGAAGAGACACTAGACATTACAGACACAAGTGAATGAAAGCACATGTCTAATGGTGAATGAATAGAGAAAAACATGTTCACCTTAAGATAATCAATTTATCTACTTATTTAATATTTTTGGATGGAAAAATTAAGACTTTAAAAATTTTAAAAAGTAAACATTTTTTGTGGTTCTTTGGAATTGCACTAGAATGAATGTTTCATGCGAGAGTAGGCCTGCAAAAGAGCCTAACCTTAAAGAGATTTTGGAGAGGATGGGAATAATAAAGTGTGTTTGGCTAGAGGAGGGAGCATCCACTAGCAGTGGTTCTCAACCTTCCTAATGCGGCCCTCTAATACAGTTCCTCATGTTGTGGTGACCCCCAGCCATAAAATTATTTTCGTTGCTACTTCATAACTGTAATTTTGCTACTGTTATGAATCGTAATGTAAATATCTGATATGCAGGATGTATTTTCAGGGGTCGCGACCCACAGGTTGAGAACCACTGCTAGGGCATAGTAGGAAACCAATGTAATGGAGTTCCTAATAGAAGGAATCAGCTGAAAAACTTTCTTCAGCCCTTAAATTATATGGGTTTCTGTTATGTGGTTGGGACTTGGGAGCACTGCAGTTTCTAGAAAGGAGACTTCTTTGCATATGTGTTTGGTATAGCTTAGAGTGGTAAGGTAAAGGCTTTGATACTGGTGAAGTTACTCTGTTACGAAGTTATATAAAATTTAGTGTACCTGTGCAGCTCTATAACTTCGTGTGTGTGTGTGTGTGTGTGTGTGTATTTTGGGGAGGCAGAGAGAGGGAGAGAGAGATAGAAACATCAGTAATGAGAGAGAATCATTGATTAGTTGCTTCATGCATGCCCCCTACTGGGAATCGACCTGTGACCTCCTGGTTCATATGTCGATGCTCAACCACTGAGCCACACTAACCAGGCACTATAACTTCTTGATAACCTAAAGTGCAGTTTGGTTGAGAGTGTGGTAGAGGAAAACTATATTTGGACTTTTTAATCTATGAAAACCGTCATACTTACAATTTCATAATTTGAGGGACACAAAGGAACCTAAAGTTTGTGGTGGCTCCCTTCTAACCCTCCTAACTGTCCCATCTGGGAAATGGCTTTCGGAGTTAGGCTGTGGCCGCTGCTGTGGCACCTGTAATCCAATATCTGGTCTGCCCATGGCTTTAGGATTAGAGCTTGCGGCATGCCAACTTTGGAATCAAGTTGCTTGTGTAGTTAATTATTTAGAGCCATATGACAACACACACACACACACACACACACACATCACCCTGATATCATTTTCATTTTCAGTAGCTGTGGTTTTTTTTTTCTTCTTGAAACAGTGAATTTTGAGCTGTAGTAGGGATCTAGGAATTCTTTCTAAAGAGAAATGCTTTCCTAGGACTGTTGATTGAAGAACATTTTATAAATCTTGCAAGTGGTCTTGCAAGATAATATTATACTATCTTACAGAATTATGTCATATCTTCACAGTAAGGAAATTTTGAAAATCTCAGTGATGAGGAAACATTTTGACAGTTTAATTGCTGATGTTTTTTATTTCCAATGATGTATGCCATTTGTGATTATTGATGCAATGACTTCCTAATTTATTATTGAAACTATAAAAATAATTCTTGATGTAATTATCATAGGTGCCTAATGGATAAGAACTTCGTTAGGATTGGGAAATGGTTTGTTCGACCATATGAAAAGGATGAAAAGCCAGTCAACAAAAGGTGAGTGTTTAGAATGCTCTTGGTTTTTTTGGTTGCTTTTGCTTGACCACAACTATCTTTGGGGAAGAGGTGGGTGGGGGAAGCAGCTTATTTGTTTACTTTCTAATAATGCTAGTAGTTTATATGTACTACAATAGATTTCTGGATCACATTTTATTAAACACTGCATTACAAAATTTCTGTGGAATATTAAAAATTGAACTAGAAAGATGATTATCACTATTGCCTATGTATAAGCTCCTTATTACCACACTATTTAGAATTGAAATATTTTATTTTGTTATTTTTCTTCTTTATTTTTCTTCTTTAAAGTATTATATGGCATAACCTTTAAAAACAGTCAACTGAATTCAAATGGTGACAATATTGATAGGATTGATGCCCCTTAAAAGTCAATCAACACATCCTTGCTAATTGTCAAACAAGGACTGTGAATTACTGCTAACCAGTGCTAAACTTTTGACCATCAAAGGCAGTCCTTGATAATAAACAAAAATGGAGGCTTAGATTAATCAAACCAGAACCAATAAACAAAACACTCAAAATGAAATATTTACCCACTTACCTCTGAACACAGGATAGACTTAATTAAAATCATAAGTTGATGGTGATTACTTCATTTCTGAAGAGCAGGGTACACAGTCTTTATTCTTCTTTACTTTATTTTTTTACTGCCATACTTGTCCTAAGCTAAAAGTCCCAATTCCTGGCTATAGGTAAGAGTTCTTGAAGCCTTTTATGGTAGCTCTAAGGTTAGATCTTTTGGGTAGTTTGCCAGAATTTTGGCTGTCAACTCTTGCCTCTTTTGGAACCTTTACTTTCTTAATTTCCTACCAGAGATTCAATTAGCAAGCTTTATGTCTGAAGCTTTGATGAAGTGGTTGTGTGGAATCTGCTCATTAACCAAATTTAAGTTATGAAAATTTGGTTTCTTTTTTCAAATCTGATAAAATAAGGATTGCCTGCTGTGGCCCCCCATCCCCTCAAATCACCATGAAGTTCCTTGAAATATTTTTTCCTCCTTTAGTACATTTAAAATTCTTTAGGATTTATTTAAGAAGTGTATTCAAATAGAACATAGTAGGTATTATGTATATCAAAGTTTGTGTGGAAAGGATAATGACACTTTTAGAAAGGTGCCGGTTTGTATGCGCGTGTAAAACTGTGATTCTATTTACAGATGCTTTGATTGAGGAACTTTTTCTTTCATTTATTTTGATTTGATCTGACCAATGCATATGTTCCGAGAACATAATTAGTCTTTGCGTTTTCCCTCAACTTTCTGAATGGTTAAAGTTTTGGCTTTTAATGTTGGTGAGTCTAAATGGTTAACTATGGAATTGCCTTAGCACAATGATCTCTATACGATTCTTAGTATGGCTCTCTATGCTTAGTGTGCATCCCCACAGCTGCTCACTGGTGAGTTAACTGAGCCAGTCCTAAATGTGTTGTGATGTGACAGGAATTTGAGGAATGAAGAGGAAATGTAAAAATAAAATAATGATTGAAAGAGGAGCAATTCATATTTAGTGCTTTCAGAAAGGAAGGGAGAGGGAGAGAGAGATAGAACCATCAATGATGAGAGAGAATCATTGATTGGCTGCCTCCTGCACACCCCACACTGGGGATCAAGTCGCAACCCAGGCATGTGCCCTAATCAGGAATCAAACCGTGACCTCGTGGTTCATAGGTCGATGCTCAACCACTGAGCCACGCCATCTGGACAGCAATTTGTATTTTTACTAGTTAAAAAATAATGTTTAAAAGTCAAATGTAGATATGAATCTATTTTATACTAGAGGCCTGGTGCACAAAAATTTGTGCACTTGCGGGGGGGGGGGGTCCCTCAGCCCGGCCTGTACCCTCTCGCAGTCTGGACCGCTTGGGGGATGTCCACCTGCTGGCTTAGGCCCGCTCCCCAGGTGATCAGACCTAAGCTGGCAGTCAGATATTCCTCTGGCAGACCGGGAGCCCTCGGGGGATGTCCACTTGCCAGCGGGGAGCAGGCCTAAGCTGCAGTCGGACATCCTTAGCGCTGCTGAGGAGGCAGGAGAGGCTCCTGCCACCACCGCTGTGCTGGCAGCTGTCAGCCTGGCTTGTGGCTGAGCAGAGCTCCCCCTGTGGGAGCGCACTGACCACCAGAAGGCAGCTCCTGCATTGAACGTCTGCCCCCTGGTGGTCAGTGTGTGTCATAGTGACCAGTCATTCCCAGTGGTTCTGCTATTAGGGTCAATTTGCATATTACCGTTTTACTATGTAGGATAGAGGCCTGGTGCACGGGTGGGGGCCGGCTGGTTTGCCCTGAAGGGTGTCCCAGATCAGGGTAGTGGTCTTGCTTGCGTGCCTGGCCAGCCTGGGTGAGGGGCTGAGGGCCGTTTTCAGGCTGGCCACACCCTCTTCAGGGACGGGGGTCCCCACTGGGGTGCCTGGCCAGTCTGGGTGAGGGGCTGAGGGCCGTTTTCAGGCTGGCCGGTTACTCAAGCTCCCAGCCTCTCCTTTTTTTTCTTTTTTATTAATTCTGGGATTTATTTACCTTCTATAATTGAAACTTTGTTGCCATCACTGGAGCTGAGAGCTGGCTCCTGCTTGCTCCAGCTCTGAGGCCACGGCCTGCTGAAAGCTGGTATCTGGTTTTTGTTTACCTCCTATAATTGAAACTTTGTTGCTTTCGGAGCTCAGAGCCGGGCAGCATCACTGGAGCAAGGAAGCCTCCTGCTCGCTTCAGCTGCGTGGCTGCTGGCCGCCATCTTGGTTGGGTTAATTTGCATATCATGCTGATTAGCCAATGGGAGGTGTAACGAAGGTACGGTCAATTACCATGTTTGTCTATTATTAGGTAGGATTAGAGGCCTGATGCATGAAATTTGTGGGAAGGACTTGGCCCTTGCATCACTGCCCCCCTCCCACTGGTGGTTTCAGAAAGTCGTTCTGGAAGGTCGTTCCAGAAGGTCATTCTGTCGTCTAGTCTAATTAGCATATTAGCTCTTTATTATATAGGATAGAGTTTATATATCTTCACACTTAATTTAGATCCCAAAAGTCTTCCTAACTTTAGCCATCCAATAGATGTAAATAATTCTGAGCAATGTAATGGAATTATTTTATTATATTTAGAATTCATGATTGTGGAATTTTTTTATAATGTAGAAATGTTGATATTTTTATTGGGGTAATATTAATAAAATTAAATAAATTTCAGGTATACATTACAATTCTCTATCTTTTTACTCTAGTGTGTGTTCAGCACCAAAAGTCTAGTTTCTATGTTACCCTATATTTGGCCCCCTTTACCCATTTTGACCCCCCTCAGCTCCCCTAAATGTTAATGATTTTGAAAAAAAAACAACATTTTAAAACACAGTAACAGTTAGAAAAATTTAAAGCCGAAGCTTGAATTTGAACAGTTGGCATTTGCTGTTATAAAACTTTATTAAGTGTAATGGCTTTTCCTCTTTTATTTGCTGAGTGCTGATAGAGCTTCTTGGTGGATGTTGACAGAAGATCTCAGTGGTTAAGTCGTTTTAGGTGGATAGAGTGACACTGTGGAGAAGGACATTTAGAATGATAAACTTTGGGATCACATTCCATACCTTTCTTTACAAGTTATTTGCCTTTGGATAAGGTGTTTAGTTTTTTCTGGGCTGAACATTGTTTTTTTGCTGTTATTGAGTAGCAGTTACTATCTTAGGAGAACTTGCTGCTCAGTGCTAAACAAATTGTATGCACAAATTATTATTTTTAGGAATACTCTTACTTGATGCCATTAGATACAAATAAAAGGAATGTATTTTAAAGAATAGTACTCTATGTATAAAGTATAGTAATACTAACATATATTTAATTTTGTTCAACAGGTTAAAAATACGATTGAAAACATGACATATTTTATGTAGCTAAAATAATTCTAATAGTGGGAAGAAATGAATATATATTGATGAATAGTGTTCCCCTGTTAGATTAATAGCATATAATTTCTTGAGCTATAAATTCCATATTGATAGCAAGACTAAGTCATTTACTGTGGACTATAAAATTGAGTTCTCAATGTTTGATATGAGATAATGCTCGGGATAATTTTAGAAAAAGTATATATATATATATATATATATATATATATATATATATATATATATAATAAATTTGACCAGGCACGTCCAAGAAGATAAAATAAACTTATTCATATCATTTTTCTCTCTCTAGTGACATATGTTTGGTTATTCATATCCTTGGGAATGTAATAAGTAGGAAAGAAAACTTTGGCTTTGTCCTAAAGAGTTATGACAACTAACATCAAACATTAAACAATTATGGTTTCTAAAGTATATCGAACTTGAAAAGGTCTTTAACTAGATGCTTAAACCAGTGGAAATAAATATTTTAAAAATGATTTAGAAATTATTCCAATTATAGAGTCTCTTTCTTTTAGAGAGCTGTTCATTTTTTAATTTAATTCCAGCCCACATTTGATTATTGCAATTTTTAGTCTATTAATTTTAGCCTTTGAATGCCATTTTTAGCAAAATAATTGATTGCCCCCAATGACAATTTGCACCTTTGATCTTTTCTAGGAATCAGGTTTATATTCGTTGGGCTAATACAAATATTGGTAAACACAAATAACCAACTTGCTAGTGCATTTTCTGAATTAATTAGCTGTCTCTTCTTCATGTGCAAACCTGCCCTCCTCTTAGATGATAGTTCAAATAGCCTCATATACTTTCAAATATTCTAATTACTTTTTTATGTCACGAACCTCACTGGGGATCGAGCCCGAAACCCAGGCATATGCCTGATGGGGAATCGAACGGTGACCTCCTGGTTCATAGGCTGAGGCTCAACCACTGAGCTGTGCCGGCCAGGCCACTGCTCACTCTTCTACCCATCCTCCTCTTTCCTTTTTCTCTCCTTATTAAAGGCCAGTCATATGTGTTTCCTTCTAGAGATGCAAAGATGAAAAGGCAGGGAAAGGGATCTTTTATCTAGAGGTTAAGCAGACATGT